AGCAGACAACAATGAAACTTACTCCTATATAAAAGCAACCTGGAAAAACCTTTCTCTAGTCATTCTGCATTTTGTGTTTATAGAATAACTTTTTTTTTTTTTTTTAAAACCAGTAATACAACTAGTCCATAATGCCATCATTTCTTTGTGAGCTGGCAGATTCTTTTCAGAATAATTTATGGCATTTGCTCGAGTATTTGATATGCAACTTTTTTGTTACATTGAGAATGACTGATTCTTTTTTTTTTTTGCATTGATGTTGTAAATATTCTTACATGTAACCAAAGATGTAATAACTCCAGAACTTACCCTCTTGCCATGGAAATAACTAATAATATGTTTCTCAGTCACCTTTCCTTTCAGCCTAGCTCAGAAAATAAGATGTGTATCAAATTTGTGAGAATAAAACTTAGTATGATGAGATTAAGATGTAACCAAACACCTCCTAAAATCACCAACTAAGCCTCAAAGTGGGGAGTTACTGTCCCTCTGATAGGCACAGGCTTGCTTAAATGGTTCTGAATACCAAGTGAATAGCCTCTCACCTGGATTGTGGGACAGTCTTGTCTACAAAGAGGAATATTGCTTTCTCAGATGGCAGTTGAATCCTCTTCCTGATGATCCACATGAACTGTGCCACAGTGATGTCAGATGGAACTAAGTACTTCCTCTTGTCAATATCAACAATCTGAGATCCTGAGACCTTCTCCACTATGACCTGTAAAGTGCAGGTGTGAAGGTCAGGATTTCAGGATCGGGATGAACAGACAGCTTTGGCAAATTGCTTGCAGTTACAACTGGGAGGAAGAAAAAGGCTTCCTGATTGCAACCAAAGGAGAGGTAGGACTGGTTCAGCACTGTAAAATCTGATTGTTCAACTGCACTGAAACCTACGTTCATTCACACAACGGCTCAAAACTTCCTGTGCCAGAGGTGGACAGTCATGGGGTAAAAAGATGCAGTGTGCCTGACAGAAACCTGTCACAGGAAAGCATACACATCTTTTAACTCTTTGTACACCAGTGATACGAAATTAGTGCAATGTGGATGCCAGGCTAAAGGTGAGCCAGCAGTGTGCCTGGCAGCACAGGCAGCTGCTAATGGTATCCTGGGCTGCATTTGGCAAAGTGCTGCCAGCAGGACCTGGGAGGTGATCCTTCCCCTCTACTGGCACTGGTGAGGCCATACCTGGAGTGCTGTGTCCTGGGCTCCTCAGTGTGAGAGAGACATGGACATACTGGAACAGTGTCCAGCAAAGGGCCTCAGAGACAATTAAGGGCTTGGAGCATCTCTCTTGTGAGGAATGACTGGGCATGTTCATCCTGGAGAAGGCTTGGGTGGGATCTTAACAGTGTATATAGATGCATGACCTGAGTGTGCAAAGAAAATGGAGCCAGCTGTTGACAGTGACAGGACAAGAGGCCTCTGGGCACAAACAGTAATACAGGGGGTTCCCTCTGAACATCAGAAGACACCTTAGCCACTGTGGAGGTGACAGAGCACTGGCAGAGGTTCCCAGACATGTTTGTTGTGGAGCCTCCCACCTTGGAGACATCCAAAAGCCATCTGGACATGGTCCTGGGCAGCTTGGTCCTGCATGAGCAGGGCAGGTTGAATCGGATGATCTCTGGAGCTCCCTTTGCACCTCAACTGTTCTGTGCCTCTGATTACTCATAACAGGTCAGTAATACCCTATTGTGTTTACATATGGCTAATTTGCAAAAAGTTCTGAAGTTCCTTATGTGAACTACCAAAACCCAGTGCATTCTGTGACAAATGCTTGGGGGTCAGGGGCAAGAGAGGAATTGGCCTCTGTTGAGCCATGTGAAGCACAGGCAGCTTGAAAACTTCAGGTTTATGAGTGGCTTGTCTGCACTACTTCTCTTAAACTACTGATTGCAGGAAGGAGAAACAGAAGGGAAGGCACAGTAGCTGCCCCTTGCAATTTAGACAATGAAAGAACTCTAAACAGGACCAAGAACAGCCTGAAAGGTATATTGAAGCCTTAACAAGTGATATTTTTTTTTAAGTTTACAATAACACACTAGGCATATTAGCTGCCTAATGCAGTAACTGTCATAATTGGAAGTCAAAGCTCTTGGTGAACTGCTTTCAGTAAAACTTACAGCCTTAGACCACTTGATTCCCCAGGCAAATGCAAAATTGCAAAGCTTTGCAACCATTAACTTCTTTCACCTCCCCTTTTATTCCTAAAAGGTCTAGCCTAGGACAGAGGCACGTAGTTCATGTATTATATTAAAGGATTTGAACCACTGACACATCTCTAAAGCCAAGTAGACAGAACTGCTGAGAATTGAAGTCACTCTGGATGCAGGCTAAAACCTGGAAAGTATCAAACATACATTAAGTCTGAAAAACTCTTTTGACTATTAAATGCCAAAAATACATTTTATATCAACTATTTTGTGAAAGGTATATGGCTCAATCTGAATAATCAAGTAGAAAACACTAGCCCAGACAAAGCATCACATTCCTGGATCTGTCCACTCCTGATACAGCATTATCTAATTCTGACTCACACACTGAGTTTTAATGTCTCTTTTTCCCCTAGGGTTATGACAGTTATTTTTGAAATAGACAAATAGATATCTGTGGAGATACATGGTCATTCACATGCTGTAGCCTGTATACTGGGGGGTAGTTAGCCAAGCAGAGAATGGCAAGAATCGGATCTGCTTGCCAGATCAAGCTGGAGAAGATGCTGTGACTTGATGCAACTCAGCAGCAAAGAAAGCCAATGGGATTAGAGGTTCTTATTGGGGCTGCACTGTCCAATGAGTAAGTTACTTACCAAGAGGTCAGCACAGGAATGACAATAACTGGCATGTGGTCAGATGGGATGTGGGAAATTTTACTCACAAGCAGAGAAGTTGCGAATGGGGATGCTGCTAGATTAAGGATGTGATGTGTGGTCATTTCACCGACTGAAATATGATAAAAGGGATTGTGGTGAAGAGAGGTCATTCACCATTTAGCAGGTAGGTTGGTCCTGAAGCAGAAACAAGGGGTCATCACTTGCATTGGCTCTTCATACAGGGTTTACGTGGGGAGACTTGCCATAGTAAGACTGGTTATAAGCATGGAATACATGAGTGAAAATCACCTTCCCCAGAGAACCAATATGGAAGTCTATCAAGGTCTAAGGAATGTACGAGCTTTCCTGGTACCAGGTACAGAATGAATCCTCAAGATTCCTCAAGTACTGGAGGTACTGGGATATAATTGCCATTAGAAGAAACCAGGACACTGATAAACTATAAATATGCCTGGACAGTGTTCAGAATGTCAGGCACTGTTGCTTACTTGTCAATAGGCATTGGGGCAGAGGAGGGAATGTTGGGTTAGTTAGGTGTGTTTTGGGCCCCCTTAAGACATCTAAGGATAAAAAAGGGAAGATTAATTTATTTAGTAGAATCTCATCAAGGAAGAGAGCGCAGGATGGCAACAGCTTATCCATCTTTGGCTCGGTAAGTATTCAGATGCAGCTTGCTCGGTTACTCACCGGGACACGATCGGGGTACTTGGCTCGGATTTTTGCCGACTCGACACATCTGTGCTCTGTGAACAAAACTCACAGTTAGTCACCGCACGGCACCGGCACCGGCACCGCCGGGCAGGGGCAGCGCCCGCGGGGACC